TTGTCGTACGACAAACTTTTTAAGCGCATTGATTAGCTAATTTCTAGAGACTCAAGAAAGTATCTATTTTGCAGCCAATCAATATGCTTAAAAAGTTTGTCGTACGACAAATGTAATATCGGCCTTAGCCCTTAATAAAGATAATAGCCAAAAAAGTTCGTTGCCGCCCGTGGGCGGGAACGAACGTGTTCAGACACGTTACGCGTGTGTCCTTTGGATCATATTTTTGAGTTTTATCTTCCCCTTCTAAAGAGGAATCCTTTCTAATTGTTCACTTAATCCTTCTCACCTGGCCGTGTGGTGGGTAATTAATTTGTGCATTTTAATGTTTTTATATAAATGTCTAGAAACTGCTCGATTTCTGCTGTCAATCTGCCGTCAGATTGCGCGCAGGCTCTGCGTGATTTCTGCTGCCAATCTGCTCACATTGCCTGTCAGCAGGCTCTGTCGACAAAACCTGAGCTTAATGTGGTCACAGATGGCTATGGTTTTGGCATGGAATTCTGATTAAATTTGCTGCTAATCTGCGCGCATGCTGCTAGCATTTTGCTATCTGGGACTATCATAATGTCATCTATTCCGCCAAATAAGGTAGGTAGTAGGCATTTAATTGGGTATTTAAATAGTGTGAGAGAGAACGAAAGAGTAGAAAAAAAAAGTGTAAGTGAGAGAGAAATTTAGATGGTGTTACTGGCCAACTTACTTATTTCGCGCATGCGCACTCCGTTTTGGCCAACACAAAATCGGGAGAGTTGCGCTACTGTATATACTGTGCTATGGCGGCGCACACTACCAGGCGGGCGGCTCACCCACGTGCGTCCGGTTAAAAGTCGGCGCTGATTGATCAGACTTTCCTTAATAACTCCTTCATTAAGCGTTAAAGAAAAAAATGTTACAGGACTTTTCTGTTCAGCTTACTGTGCTCTACCCGCTCACGAACGTTGGCACAATCTTTACCGGACACCCTGTATAAGCATTAAATTAGAAATTTCTACTAAATAGGAGATGTAGAAAAGAGTTTTAGAGAATAGAGATTTTATATCAAAACGATAAAATTATTTAATTACATTATTTGGAGTACAAATATTATGCATATACATACATTTTTATATTATATATTTTATTTTTGTAATTCTATTAATCTTATTTTATCTTTAATCATATTTTTTATATGAATATATGTACTATATACAAGTTTTAAAGAAATTGCCAATTATATAGTACAATATCAATATAAATATTCAATCTCATAATCAATCTATATGATAATTTACTTAAATGTCACTGAAAAGTTTTTTAGAATATAAAAATATTGAGTAACATTATGATAAGCATTATTTTCCAATATCTTAAGAAATAATATTCTATAAAATGTATTTTCAAAATGTGTATGTTTGTATGAGAATTATGTGTATAGCTTTGCTAATAAAAATTCCAATATCATAAATTGATATTTTACATACACACACCCATATAAAACTTAAAACCAATTAATCAATTATATGATACGAATCGTTCTGTATAGCACAATGTATGCAGGAATTTCAATTATCAATTGAGAAAAAGATAAGAATAATATCAATTATTAATATCCTAATATTTACACATTACTAAAGCAAAAATTTCTGATTATACATGTATAAAGATTGCAGATATAAATAAATATTTAAATTTTGCTACACAGCATTGTTACATTAATAAAATATTTTAAATTTATATTTCCCCTTATTCTAAATGTTTCTACTAAAAAAAATTCCTTTTAAAATAATTCTTTTATGATAATAAATCAATCACATATGTCAAAAACCAAAAATAAATTTTTGATAGTCAATAAATACATATAATCAATAAGTTACATCATTTTGACTAGTCTTTGAATTAAAAATAAAATTAGAATTATTCCAGCAAATAAATAATTTCCAGAAATTGGATTATAAAACAATTTTGCCTTGATATCATATGTTGTAGCTCTAAGAGTCTTGTATTTTTCCTTTATTAGAAACAAAAGTGATTACGTTATTTCTCTTCTAATTAATATTCTGAAAGACAAACTTTTCTGACACTATAGGTAGAGGCGTTTGTCCCGCGTAATTGGTAACATTTGCAATAGCACCAGCTTTTAATAGTGTCTGCGCCAATATCGTGTGACCATTGTCCAGTGCATGAAATAGAGGCGTTCGTCCTGATTTCATATCTTTCACATCTATAGCCGCACCGGCTGATAAAAGTGCTTTCACCCCTTGTAAATTATCGCGCATGCTACAATAATGTAATGCCGCAAAACCTTGAAAAACAAAAATGGATTTATGATGATGTTAATGAGAATTTTAATTTAACATAATGATTCAGCAAATGCTTCTTGCATAGCATCAATATAATCTCACCTTCCGAATCTATTTGATCGAGTAATTTCGATTCCGAAACTTGATCAATAAGCATTGACAATAAGGGTGATGATCGTTTACTGGCTATAATCAATGCCGATTCGTGTATATATTTCGGTATCACCGGTTGTGCTCCAGCCTTCAGTAGAAGTTTCACAATTTCGCTTCGTGCATCATATTTGATTGCCAACTCTAAACTCGTCTGCAAAATGCATCAAAAAATTATGTATAGTGTTTTTTATAAAAGATCAGATAAAATTAAATTTATAAGATTAGATAAAATTAAATTAAATTTACCGCTCCATCCTCGGTTAATATATCGACATTTTCTTTACATTGCTCAAGTATCATTAATTGTCTCTGAACAAGATGGATGTTATTGCTTATAACAGCGTTATGTATATTTAACATGCCATTTTGATCATAATGTTTAACCGATTCAAAGTCTCTTTCCAAATGCTCTATAAGATTCTTACATCTTATCTTTGTTGCTGATAAAGTTTCCTTCATTTTTGCAGTATCGGAATCTTCTTCAAAAATTTGTTTAATAAAACTATCTATATCAAAATCGTCTTCTTGTTCATTTGTAAGAGGAACTTTGGATAGGGAATCATTAGAGTGTAAACCATTTGTTAACAATTGATCTTGATTAGTAGGCATATCATAAAGAGAAATTTGTTTTATTCTCTGAATGCTATCCAAGTCTTTGTTTATGAATATAAAAGATGTAGGATCCAATAAGCCAAATACCATAGTCTGTATTTGTGTGTCGTGTACAGCTTTGTGTTTCTCTGGTAAATGTATTGGGACATATCTCTCTATTCCAATTCCACAATCTGCTAGTGCCTTCAATGCTAGTGCACGCAACTTGTTATCCTTCACACTATCCATTGCTTTCTTGATAATATTCCATTGATCCGCTAAGTCTGACTGAGTTGAATCCGTGGGATAATCTCTGTTCTGTACATCTAATTGCACGATTGTATTAGTAGTATTTGTGATTGGTTGCGATTCTGGAACGCGTTGCACAGGATTGTTGACCACAACAGCCGAACAATTATTTCCAGAATCTTTCTTCAGAACATGTTTACTTTGCATATTTTCAGACTTTGTATCGTGCAAAACTTTGCCATGATGTACATTAATTACATTTTTTTCACTCGCTGGTGATACAGCAATATTATACTCCTGTGTTGAAATTGTATTCTGATTAAATAAAAAAGTTTCATTATTAGGTATAACTGTCATAACATTTTTTTGCATTGTTTTGTATCCTTGATTATTTAAGAAAACTACATCAGGATTAACTCGAAACAATTTATTTCTATTATTCATAACTTTTTGATTATTGACATTCTCTTTGCCATTGTTATCTAAACTATTTTCAATTAAATTGTTATTAATCTGATTATGTTGTTGAGCAAAATTTACTGCATTTTTTAAAGATGTGACTATTTTTACATTTTCTGTGTTTTTTACATTAGTAATGCATTTTCCACTACTTACTTTGAAATACTCTTTAGATTTATGTACGTTACTATTGCTTGAGTTTATTGCAAGCTTTAAATTTGTTACAGGAAATGTTGATTTAATAATTTCTTCATGCAACGATATTCTTGTAGCCGAAGTAATTTCATTAATTTCTGTTATTGTAATTTTTGGAATTTTTATATTACTATTTACATTGTTTATTCCATTATATACTATATGCTTTTGATTGTTGCTATCAATAGTTTGATACAAGGATTGTTTAGGATTTGTCTCGCTTATAGAAATCGGTATTTCAATATTAATATTGCTATTACATGCCTGTGCCTCCTTATTCCTGGTCTCGATATCTTGTTTCTCAATCATTTTATTTATACGCAGAGTTGTAGATTCTTGCGATGCATTAATTTCATTCGTTTCAGAATCGCATCTGCTACAGGATTTAATCAAATTATTCTTAAATATTCTTGCGGTGCCTTGTTTAAGTATCCGTGGAAATATCCTGCTGTGCGAGACCGGAGACAGGACAGGTTTTTTAACAGGCCTGAGAGTAATCATCTTCCCTTTCAATGGATTATCAGTCTGCAATTCGATGTTGAACTCCCCCAAATCCTTTCCGTTTGGAGACAAGATCCTTAATTTCTGCAGTTTATATGGGATTTGAAACTTGACGTCGGATAACGACGTTATCATATTCTCGGGCATTGTTAAGATTGATGGCGGGGATTCCACGGGATTCACAATACCCTGCTTCATCGCCTGTTTCAATGTACTGGGGAACTGTTGCGGCAGCCGAAATTCTCGTACACATTCTATTAATTGCATTTTATTCTCGTTTCTTGTAACGCATCTCTTTTTCGCCGGCGTGGGTTCCGTGAGACTATCCATTTATAGATAGTGGATCAGTCAAACAACTGTCCACACATGAAGCTTATTTGTGTCGCTTCGCGTCACACTCTTCACGGTGAAGAAATCCTCTTCTTATATATGTCGGGGTAATATAACCTGCAACCGACTAGTAATAAATAGACACGTTTGATATAATTTCCCACCGTATCACTCCGAAATAATTCATCGAAATGTCAAACTTATCGACTTCAATACGAATGATTTGACGAGATTTATTCATATATACGCGAATGCAACATTAAGGTGAACAGGAATCACCGAATTTTCCGCGACACGAGGGGACATCCCTTGGACAACATCATAGACATAATATATCTAGACCGAGCGTTTGTCTTTATTTAAGGAATGGGGGTAAAGATGCAAGTAGAAAAGGACATACTCTATTTCGTGCCCCTTGCGTTCTCTCTCGCTCGCACGTAGCATAGCGCTCTCTTTCGCCATGCTACGTGCGAGCGAGAGAGAACGCAAGGGCAACAAAACAGATGGCGAATTCGATTGGATGCACTAGTGCGCACTGAGTGCGCACTCTTTCAGTATTTAGTATTCGGTTGGCTTGCCCTGTACTGGTTCAGAATTTTATGTGTATTTGGTTGATAGTGCACTAAAAACATGTGCTAGTGAAAACGTGTTCGACTGAACTGCATTATCCCAGTGCAGTGTTATTTGTACGTTCGGTTGAAATACATTGCACTAGTGCAGAAGGCACTGAATTGCACTGAGATTTTCGACAGTGCAGTTCAGTGCAAATTTGAGTATTCCAATGAAAAAATATGGCAGCTAAAATATTATTATTAGATGAACTGTTAAATAGTTCGAGCAGTTCTAGCGATGAAGAAATGATGGCAGTATTAATGCGACATGAAACACAAATTCCGAAAGTTCGGAATATGATAAATATTATAAATGAATATTCTGATAAAGAGGTATTATCACACATAATTTCAATGTATAGTTTAAATATTTATTATATTATTTCATATTTAAAGTATCTCTCTTTGATTACTGTAGGTTTTTCTCTGCTCTCTTGTTGATTACAAGTCGCATATTGCACATGTGGGCACCACTAAAGAAGTTACTAAATGCACTATATTGGGATCAGTGCCTGTAATCGCTCCCAGGTCAGTGCAAATAACCGCACTCGGGTCAGTATTAAACTATGCGCTCCAAACATGTGCGTCTGGTAACAAAAAGTTACTAGCCACTGAAACGGAGCGAGTGCACATCAATCGAATTCGCCATT